GGGGCTGTCCCCTTTTTCTTTGTAACTTTCAGACCGGAATTGGATTTGTAAAGCTGGAAGTGCCCTAAATGGGTATGAGAACCTCTGGGAAAGACCAAGGCTGCTCTCGTCTATCTCCACAAACACCATCTCCCCACGCTGACTGGTTCCTGAAAGCTGATTGATGACAGTGAGTTCAGGGAGAGAAGCTTAAAGTACACATATGCAGTGATGGAGGGTAGATGAGAGGGAAAGAAGAATAAGTCACAATATAGTGGCTGAAGCAAATCACATTAGACTACGTTTAATTTTTTCCTGGATTGTTATCAAATAACAACTTCATAATGGTCCATGGCGATCCGAGGTAATTATGGAGACAATTATAAACACCTAATATTTCAGGTTCGTGATTGTGGAGAACCTACAAAATATGCTCAAGTTGTATGATCCAAATTTTCCTATTTTCTTCGGCAACAAGTTGAAGAAGCCAAATATTTCTCAGGGTTTCATGAGCGGAGGTGAGTATTTTGGGTAATGGTGAAAAGAACAGGGAAGCGATACTTGTGGTGGTGGTTAATAGTGGGTGGTGGTGGTTTAGGGGATGGGTGGTGATAGTGATGGTGGGTGTTGGTTGTTATTGTGGCTGTGTGGTTGTCAAGAGTCTTTATTTTTAGTATTAGAAAATTTAACCAATGTTTCAATATTAAAAGAGTAGAGTTATTTGTCGTACATGTTATATAACTGACTGTGGTTGTCTGGCAGGAAGAGGTCTGTGTCTTATCCACTTGTTGGCCTCCACCCATCAATTTTAATAGTTATAATTATAAAACATAATTTTTAAAGGGGGTGCACTGTATGTCAGCGGAAGGTTTCGGTCAGATGACCAAAAGCTCCAGCTACGCGTCAGGAAACACATGTCCTGTTTCTGGCAACGATACCTACCTACCTACTACCTACCTACCTACCTCTACCTACTACCTACCTACTACCTACCTACCTATCTAGCTATCACCAACCTGGGAGTCCCATGGACTCTCTAGGAGATAAACACAGCTAGAGGTGGCATATCTCTTGTGTCTTGAATCAAGAGCCCTTCACCGGCATCAAGACCCACACTTGAAAGCGTAAAACCATCCTAATTTCTCTCAGTTATCTTGGTAAATTTAATAATTTATTCATTTAATAATTCTCCCCCTGGAGGGACGGTGGGAGGGGATGGAGGGAGGGGATGGAGGGAGGGGATGGAGGGAGGGGATGGAGGGAGGGGATGGAGGGAGGGAGGGAAGAAACAGCTCAACAACAGTTCGTTGTTTTTTTCTGAAGTGGAGTCGTGGGTTCAGGGGAGGTTCCTTAACTCCACTGAGAGGTCTTCTTGATCCAGGGAATCGGACCTGTCTTCCCCTTTCCTTTAACATTATTATTATTATAATCAAGGGGAAGCGCTAAACCCGTAGGATTATACAGCGCCTGGGGGGAAGAGGAATGTGGAAGGCATTCAGGCTTAATTCGGGGAACTGGAGCACAGATCCAATTCCCTAAATCAAGAGCCCCTCACCAACATCAAGGAACCTTCCCTGAGGGGTTTCCTTTAACTGAATCTGAATGCTTCCCATTTCCCGCCCAGGGTGCTGCTTGATCCCTGCGGGTTTAGCGCTTTTCCCGTGAGTGTAATGATAAGGAAATAGATTAATGGGATTAGGAATATTTATCTTCCGCTGCCTCTCTCTCTCTCTCTCTCTCTCTCTCTCTCTCTCTCTCTCTCTCTCTCTCTCTCTCTCTCCTCTCTCTCTCTCTCTCTCTCTCTCTCTCTCTCTCTCTCTCTCTTTTACACAGGGTTTGACAAGGTTAAGGATCCCTAACTTTATTGACAAGCTATTTACAGGTTAAGGATTTGTAGATGAATGGTTCAGAGAACCGACATGTTGATAATACTTAGGAATTCTTCGCTTGCCTAATTCTTGGGCACGACCTACTTCCACATTGAACAAATGTGACACCACCTATGACTGCTGCACCTCTCCTGCCATACGGTTTATAAGCTGCTTCTCCGCTCATATGCCGCATTCTATTCAAGATTGATGGACTGAACACATCGACTCAAGGTTGAGGGACTGATTACCTCATTCTCCTCCTGTTCTTCAAGATTCTCCTTTGTATGGACTGATGAAGCCACTGTGTGGCGAAACGTTTCCTCAATAAAGATACCCAAGAGTTGCACATGTGTCTAATTTAGGTTAAGGATTCCTAACTTTCTCTCTCTCTCTCTCTCTTTGATACCTCAACCATGCCTCACACACCACAGCCCAGCCTCACACACTACAACCCAGCCTCACACACCACAATCCAGCCTCACACACACCACAGCCCAGCCTCACACACCACAGCCCAGTCTCACACACCACAATCCAGCCTCATACACCACAATCCAGTCTCACACACCACAGCCCAGCCTCACACACTACAACCCAGCCTCACACACCACAATCCAGCCTCACACACCACAGCCCAGCCTCACACACCACAGCCCAGGATCACACATCACAACCCCGCCTCACACACCCCAACCCCGCCTCACACACCACAACCCAGCCTCACACACCACAACCAGCCTCACACAACTCAACCCAGCCTCACACACCACAACCCAACCTCACACACCACATCCCAGCCTCACACACCACAACACAGCCTCACACACCACAACCCACCCTCACACCCCAACAGCCCAGCCTCACACACCACAGCCCAGCCTCACACATCACAACCCAGCCTCTCACACCACAACCCAGGCTCACACACCACAACCCAGCCTCACACACCACAACCCAGCCTCACACCACAACCCAGCCTCACACACCACAACCCAGCCTCACACACCACAAACCGAGCCTCACACACCTCAACCCAGCCTCACACACCACAACCCAGCCCCCACACACCACAACCACCCTCACACACCACAACCCAGCCTCACACCCACAACCCGCCTCACACAACTCAACCCAACCTCACACACTACAACCCACCCTCACACTTTCATAACCAAGCCTCACACACGACCACCCAGCCTCACACACCACAACCCCGCGTTACACACACCCCCAGCCTAAACAAAACCACAGCCCGGGCCTCACACGTCACAGCCAGCCTCACACGTCACAACCAGTCCACACACCACAACCCAGCCTTACACACCACAATTCAGCCTCACACACCAAAATCCAGCTCACACACACCCACAATCCAACCTCACACACCACAGCCCAGCCTCACACCCCACAGCCCAGCCTCACACGTCACAACCCAGTCTCAAAACCACAAAACACCCTTCCCACACCACAACAAGCCCCCACAATCATAACCCATCCCACAAAACCACAACCCTCCCGTTCACCCCACAACCCCAGCCTCACCCCACAATCCAGTCTCACAAACCCCCAGCCCAGCCTCACACCCCAAACAACCCAGCCTCAACACCACATCCAGCCTCACACACCACAGCCCACCCTCACACACCACAGCCCAGTCTCACACACCAAAAGCCAGCCTCACACACCACAACCCGCCTCACACACTACAACCCCAGCCTCACACCACAACCCAGCCTCACACATCACAACCCAGCCCTCACACACCAAAACCCAGCCTGACAAAACCACAACCCAGCGTTACACACCACAACCCACCCTCACACCACAAAAACAGCCCTGACACCCCAAAACCCAGCTCACACACCACAACCCAGCTTTACACCACAACCCAGCCTCAACACAAAAAACCCTGACACACCAAAACCCCAGCTGACACACACAACCCACCTCACAACCACCCCCCGCCTCACACCCAAAACCCACCTCACACACCAAACCCCCCCCCTACACACCACAACCCAGCCTCACCCCCAATTCTTACATAAGGTTTACAATAAATTTCATGGCTTACGATATTTAGGTTTGGTTCGATAATTACATCTCAGGTTCAACTCAGGTTAAGTTTTTGAAGAAGGATTTTCTACTTTTAGGGGAAAATGGGAAAGTAAGTTCGCATAGATTTTTGGGAGGTGTGGAAGGATTTAGGGGTAAGGGGAAATGGTCCCCAAGTTATAGTGGCAGCCGATTTAAGTGGAAAGGGTTCACAGTTCAGGAACAAAAAGAAAGGGAGTAATAAAGAAAATGTGAAGTAGGAAATCGATTCTCTGTTCTCAAAACAGTGTACTCATGGTTAGTGAGGTTAAAGGTAGAGATTCCCTGCTAAAAAAGGAGAATTTTTTAATGAGTCGATTTCAGGAGTAATGGACCGGGATTTTGTAACAGAGACAGAAAGGTCAGACAAGAGTGAAAAAAGTAAATAAGTAAGTAAATTTATTAGGTATACACAAATCGTTACAAAATTTCCAAGCGAATTGTAAAAAAAAAAAAAAAAAAAAAAAAATATAAATTTTTTGGGGGAAAAAAAAAAAAAAATTTTTAGAGAACCTGGGAAAAACCCAAAAAAGTCAGACAGAGGACTTATTTCCATTTGGGGCCTTTTCCCTTTATTTTTTAAAATTTTTAAAGGGTTTATAATATTTTCTATTATTCTACAATGGAAAAAACACCCTTTTATCATACTAAAAAGAATCTACTACCCCAAAGGTCTTTTAAGACTATCTACAATACGGGGGGTTCCTTTACAAGGAAAAGGGAAAAATTTTACCGTATGTTAGCAAAAAAATTAAAAAAACCATTCCCCTCCCTTTCTGTACTACTTTTAAAACAGAACCTTTTGGCACTTTTTCTTGAACGGGTTTCCCATACAAATTGACTGGTTTTGGGGACTTTGTGCGGGCAGTCTGTTTTTTTCCCTTTTAATTGCTTTACAAAAAAGGTGGTTTGCGTCTGGCCAATGTGTGGGTCAAACAAAGTTGGGGCTCTCCCCCCCTAGTACTAGTTTTGCTTTTGGTTCCCAACCTTGAAAAAAATTGACACCCAAGTTTTTCCCGGGACACTGTTTGTGACCAATTTTAAAACTTGATTTTACCCTTAGTTGTTTTACTCTTCTTCAAACTTTCACCCATATCCAACCTGCTTTTTTTTCCCAACCCGGGCCCCTTACATGTTTCTCTTGGCCCCCGCCCCGGATGAATCTTACGATTTTTTTCGGGGGTGTTTTTGCAGTCTATTTTTTCAGTTTTTTTTTTTAAAACCCAGAGTACCAAAAATGCAAGGTAACCCTATGGCATTTTTTAAAAAGGGCTAAACATAGGGTCCTGCGAGCCTCAGTATAAACACTGTGTTTTGTTTCCGGGAAAACTTAAATCTGGCAATTCGCTTTTTTTTACTAACGTTCCCTTTAAAATTCTCCCGGACATGCATGGGTCAAAGGGGTTTCCCCAAAAATATTTTACTGATAAAACCCAAAAGTGATGGGCCCCCATTAAAATTGAACTTTAAAAATTAAATTTTACCCTTTCAGTTTTTTTTTTCGTCCAAAAGGGGGAAGGGGGCCCGGGTTTTTCCCTAGGGAAAGGGAAGTTTTT